GATCTCAGAGGGTCAGACCTGGCCAGTGCCTGAATGAGACACCAAGGCAAAGCCAGGATCCTGCCAGAAGCCATGCAGGCCGTTTGACAGACCATCTCAGGGCAGGTTCCAAACGGAAGAGCCGGTGCTCCCGTGTGGAGACACAAGATGCTGTACGGAGGCAGCTCTGAGCTGGGCAAATCCCAGCTAAGCTATCACACTTAGCTTCCCTGCCGCACCTAGAGGACAAAATAATCCTTCATTTCCTGCCTCAAGGTGCTGGCCTAGTATTCCAGCCATTAGAACAGCAGCCACCATCCACCCCAGAGGTGGCTGCATGTTTGGAGCGAGCGAGACAGTTGAGGGAGCTAGTGGCGCGCTTTGGTGAGTTAAATGGCTGCTGTGCCTCCCAAGCTATCATCGTATTCCGTGTGTGGCAGGCTCCACAGCCACGTACTTGTACATTGCGACCAGATCCAATGAAACAGCCGTTCAGGGTAACTCAGAGGGGAGCACATGTGCTTGGCTTGCGAGTCCCAGCACTGGAAGGATGGTTTTGAAAGATGCTGCCGCTCTCTGGTCCCCAAATGCCTGCCCTTCCCCCATCCATAGCCTGGATGATGCTTATATTGCCCCAAACTGAAGGGCAGGCGGAGTCGACAGAACTCAGCCCTGCCACATCTGGGTGCAGCTAGATTGGGGCAGGGGAGGGGTTGGAAATAGGTATTTTGCCAACTTTGGTCTGAGGAGGATCCCCCTTCTACTACTCTGCAAAACACCCCTTGCCAGGCCAGACAAGCTCTCCCCCCAAAATCCCCTTCAACAGCTCCGCTCCCCCCGCGGGCAACACAAGCTGAGTGCATCAGACTCCCTGGTGACTAGTCAGAAACAAAGCAGCAGCCACTTCTGCCCGTGTACTCACCACGGCCCCAGCCAAGTGACTCCATGCATGCCGAGCCCTGCCCAGCTGGCATCAGCAAAGGTCTCGGGCCAATGTTCCCCCTAATCTTTTCCATCCACGTGCAGAATACGTGTTTATGTGCACCAAGGTACATGCCAACGTGCACCACCAATGGAAACAAAAGATCTAGTGGTGGGCGCTCTGCTACTCGCCTGGGCAGCACAAGTGCCCAACTTCCCCTGGTCTCGAGGTGGGGCGAGGGCATCCCGCACAAGGCATCCCTAGCAGGATGGAGGCCTACAATCGTGTGAACAGGTCTGCAGGCAAGTCACATGCAATGTGCCTCACAGAGCTCAGCCACACACCCGAGAACAATTGCCGTATCGAGGCCTATCTTCCGCCTCGCTTCTGGGGACAAGAGCTTTTGTCGAACTGGAATCCCAAGTCCTTTTCCCTCCCTTCTCCGCAGCATATGCGCCCCTGGGGCGTGGGCTTTGCCACGACCCAAGGGCAGGGAGTGGGGGAGATTCATCGTGGGGGATTCCCTAGTTACAATATTGGCAGCATATCCCTGCCCTGGGGCCGCCTCTGGCCAGCTGTGGGAGACAGAAGAGAGATGAAGCCGATTTCCTGAGCTAGAATTGATTGCGCTGGAGGGGAGCTTGCCGCGGGCCCCACGTGTGATGAGCTCCTCCCAGTCCGGGGGGCATCACCCCGTAAATGAAGCCTCAGAACAAGCCGGGGGAGGGGAGGAGATGGACGTGTGACAAATGTGACAGAATGACCCAAATGTACACAGGACATCGAGCTATTGAGCACTGCTCTGAATGCTGGAGCCTGTGTCTGGCCACACACGTGCTAGAACAGAGGTTGGGATTCTTAGAAGGAGACATAGGGGATCTGGCACCGGGGGCATCTGTACGATTGTTCCTCTGCCTTGACGGTCGCTTCCATTCTTCACTAGCACAGAGCAACGAGTGTTGATTTTCCTTTTTCAGTCAGTGATTTTAGTACAAGTTAGCAGAGTCGGGGATTTGCTTGTATAATGGGGAGGGAGGGTTTAAACTCCAGCCCCCTGGCCCCATTTCAGATTTGCTTCCTTTTATTCCGACTCTCTAAATTTCCCCCCATCTGGAAAAAAATCCCCTTCCCTCGTCCTAAGGATTATTACGTATCGGGACGGCCACGTTCCAGGGGCAGAGGAAGGAGCTGTATATTCTACATACCTGCAAGTGCCTGAACACTCCACGGCTGACCCATCCACCACCACCCTGACCGGTAGCGTCTTCACACCCTGATCACAGCCCAGAACCCCACGCTGCGAGGTGCTGCACAAACACCAGATAAACAGAGGGCCGCCCCCCTCAGGGCAGA